TTGGGCTTGAGTTCTAATATTAGTGCTTTCGTTGAGAGTTAGGCTGCGGAAAGGCTTACCTATAGGCTAGGTTAAGGTGCAATGTACATCGAATGATTGATAGGTGAATAAAGTCACCTAAAGGGGGAAAGGGCTACCGTCGGGTCAGTGTCAATAAAGTGAAAGTCATCATGGACGTCGGCTCTTGAAGGAGAGGTGCAATGTTAGGATCCCACATCGGGATCTCACACCCCTAAGTGTGGTACCTAAGCCTAGGGGTTTTCCCACCTATTAGACCGGTCTTTTGGGTTGGGCTCTCCCTTAGGCTTGAGTTCTAACATTGGTGTTTTTTGTTGAGAGTAAGGCTGCGAAAAGGGCTACCTATAGGCTATATTGAGGTGTAGTGTACTCTCCTTGGAAGGGGTTGTTGCATCGAATAACTGATAGGTGAGTGAAGCTGCCCAAAGGGGGAAATGGCTACCATCGAGTCAGTATCGGTAGAGTGAAAGCCGTCGTGGACGTCGGCTCTTGAAGGTGGGTACAATGTTAGGATTCCACATTGGGATCTCACACCCACCAAATGTAGTACTTGAGCCTAGAAGCTCTCCCACTTATCAGGTTGGTCTTTTGGGATGAGCTCTCCCTTGGACTTGAGTTCTAACGTTATAACTAACTTATACTATAGATAATCATATTCAACTTCCTCCTATTAGAATAATTAATTCTTAGAGCAAGTTAAAATAAAAGAAAAAAATCAGTTACAAATTAATTAATCATATGATTAGTACATCATGTAACATAGACCTCAGAGATATACTAGATGACAATGTTAATTCCAATCGGCCATGGCCATAACAATGTAAACTTGGCCATGATTATAGAACTCAACTGAATCAAGATGTATATATCAGTATTAATAGAAATAGAAGGACTTGGGCAACAGTCATGAAATCATCATAAATACTATCAGGGTCAAAATATTTCTTCAAAAACGCCACTGCAATACCTTCAACACATTTCCGCTTGAGATATCCTTGGGGCGCTCTCCAGTTTTGCATGTAACATCACACAGTGGCCGGAAACCTGAGAGGTTATCATGTAAAACAACCATGTGAACGCACTTCGCTTGGCAACAAACTGAGCACGAATAGATTTACATTTTTTGGAAAACTTGGCATAGTTGAGATGTTTAGGACACAAAGATTTATATACTTCATGTCCTGGCCACCAAATTTGGTTCCAAAAATGAAAAAACTTAACCGAACCAATAACTGAACCAGTTTTCCAGTTATGCGGAAAACCGATTTAGTTTCGGTTTAAGGAAATACATATATCGGAAATTTGGTTTCGTTACCGGTTTAAAAAAATTTTTAAAATCGGTTAATTGTAACTGGTTTTCACTTTGAAATTAAAATACCCTAAATCCCCAAATTATTTTCTCTTTACTCTTTATGCATTTCTCCTCTTTTTCACACAAACACACACATTCTTCCTCAGTCCTCAACGATTTTCACTTTTCTCTTCCCTCTCAGAATAAAAAATAAGTTAAATTAGGAAAAAATCAAAATAAAAAATAAGTTAAAGGGAAAACCAGTTCAAAACCGATTTCGGTTTTCCCCTTATCCGATTCGGTTTCAATTCTGGAAAATTTTTAAATCGAAAAACTGGTTCAATTTAGAAAATCAGTTGACTGGTTATGAACACCCGTAACTATATATGCCTGATTCTTTTAGGCTAATGATAAACAATGGCTTTCGAGGTGAGTTAATATCATTTTTTGATGGCTTTAGTTAATTTGTGACTTCTCTAGTAGTTATCAATCGTATTGAGACATTTATGGTTTCTCCAATCCTTCTCTCTTTCAGATATCTAATACCGATGAAGAAACATGTTCTCCTCCATATGATCCTTCTAGTTACACATTAAGAAAATATCCCAAATGCATTAATTCCACGAAAAATTTCCTACGAGTTGGTCTAGACGCGTGGCCACCTCCTCTTGCTCCTTCGGCAGATATTAACATTGTTTTCATACTAGTAGAATTGATAGGTGGACAGAAGACAAATATAAAAAATTTGCCAAAGAACCACAAAATTTTCGGATTTAATAATCAAACTATTAATCGTTAGAGTAACGTTAAATATTAAGTTGACAATATTCTATTTAATGACAACTTAACATTAATATTTATCCTATGCATTAATATTTACAATCTGAAAATGGTATGTGTAAATTAAATCTAAATTGTCGTAGTCTCCTAGAGGTGTTTGTGCTCTGACTTTGTCAGCCCTTGGATCTTCAATGTGTATCCTTATCACCTTATGATTTCTATATAATTATTGATCCAAAATTACAAATAGTATTTCTCTAAAGACGTCTTTAAACAGTTTATCTTGAGAAACTCACCTTTTAATCAAACCACGCCGATTACTTAATGGACAAGATAGATTTGACAAAAAAAATTAAGTGCTTTTGGTATACTTTTCTAAATAGCATTTCTTAAATCCTCTACTTAATAGGATAGGATAAGAACTAAAAATGTGTTTGATAATTGTTATATTATTGGAAAATATTTTTTTAAATATTTAAATTATTTTTAACCCCCTATATTTGTTAGGCTAACTAAATGTCTTCCACAATAAAAGTTTATAAATTAACAAAAATACATTCACCTGTCCAATCGATTGCCGGTAGCTGGCCACCACCGACGAACGGTGGCTAACAATGGCGCATAAAAAGTTCGATCTGACCGGTCAAGCATCGATCTAACCTTTTTTTGTCAGATCCACCATGGATCTAGTTGAAAAAATGCAAGATTGGCGCACGATTGGTCAGATCCTGCCGATCGTGCGTCATTCTGGCGGTGGTTGTTGGCTGGTGATTGTGGCTTGGATGGATGAGGATGTTTTTGTTCATTTATAAACTTTTACTGAAAAATATAATTGTTAATATTTTGAGATGAATAGAATATGATTGGATTTTAAACAATATTATAAGAAAAATATTTTTTTATTTTTTAAGATAAAATAGTAGAATAAGATAGTGTTGGAAAAGTTAAACGAACGGCCTTGAGCATCTCTATACCCAAAGATATGTGAATGGAATCGCAAGTTGAAATAATTTTAAAAAATTTTAATATAAATAATATCATATAATAGTATCAATATCTCGGAAATTATTCTGTTTGCGAACACTCTAAATTCGTGCTAAATACACATCATTAAAATCTGTAAATTTATCTTATCAGAGAATGTTTGGTTAGGTTTATTTACCAGCCCAAACAACTTACTTAAAGTTATAAACATTGTTGAAATTAAATAGGACGGTTTATGACTACTTTCGTAAGTTCTTTTTAAATAAATTGACTTGATTTATTTTTATAAATTAATTTTTTTTTTCTTGGGTAAATTAATATTAGAATGCTCTTTTTACATGAATAAGTTCTAAATATTCCCGAATTGTCCAATAGCTTCTGCACTTCTCCAAAACTGTTGTGAGATTCTTCTCTCATAAATTCATACTTGAGCTTGAAGGCGAATATGGCTTCTTCCAGTACCTTCACTATTTCTGAATTTCATATCTGAAATGAATATATAGAAAAGCTTTCATCCAAAGTCACCCTGAAGCTCTTTATGTCACAATTAATTGTGAATAAATTCGCCTTATATAACTTCTCTCTTCCCGCGTAGCCTGGTTCCTTCCATGAAATTATAGAAGATTAACTGGATATTACCATGCTTATTAAAACATCAAATCAGGGGTTTTTTTCTTTGACACCCCTTACATTTCATAAAAAATGGGATCTATATGTTTTGAAAAGTGACACTCACACCCTTCAAATAGACGAACGTTGGATAAAAATAACATATGCAAGGATTCTATATATGGACTATGGTCATTTGATGTACATCAAGTTAAATGAAATTATTTTCTCTCTAATAAACTATTGAAATGCACTCCTAATCTTTAATAAATTAAAACAAACCTCTTTATTATTCCAAACGCAAAAAAATAAAATAAAGAATATAACCCTAATCTCAAAACGAGAAACACTAAACTAATCTTCATTGCATTATAGCACGCATCTTCTTTGCTACGTTATTGATATGAAAAATAGCATGTGTCTATTTGAAATAATGTTCTTTGTATTCTTCATCTCAATTGTTCTTGTTATGTAAAAAGTTTGATTAGGTAGAAGCCTAGAAGGTATATAGTAATTTTTTTTTTTTAACAAGGAATCATCCTACATAGGGTTTAGGATGTATAAATTGACTTCTAATTTATTCTTGTGGTCTCACATTTAATAATTTCAATATATATCTATTTATAAATACAATAAAATTATCATCGTTTGACAATGACATGTAACATTACATAAGGTTTTCGGTGGCATATACAACATTTTTAAGTTACAGTTTTCATCATTGATTACACCATAAAAGCGATCATCGCATCTTGAATCTTATGAAACTTGCGATGAAGTCAGCACGTCTTTAATAAAGCATATAGAACAACAAAGTGTATCCCATTTCATCTTTGTTAATGTTATTGTTTCAAAAAAAAAAAAAAAAAAAGGAGCTTGAAATTACCTTCTACCCTTACTTGATTTAGTTTTGTTATTAGTTAAAGTGAACCCAAAGAAGATGAGTATATATTTTATAAAATCTCAGGGGTGGTTATTAGTATTTCAAATACTTGTTGGGTCTTTGATGATACTAACATAAACCTCAAGGGATGTGGATGATAATAACAGAGAAGGAAAGGAACCTTATGGCGAAGTATATGCTTCACAACACGATTCCTCTACTAAAGTCACTGGGGACAACACGCTGACGCCATGCACCCCCACCCACATCCTTCCTTCACAACAAAGTCATGTTAATAGCGGAACTACCCCGAGATGTCTAGAATTTCAAAATACTCCACGTGTCAACATCGCGTGTAACCCCCACTTAAAAATAGCACACACGCGACGCATCACGAAATTTCTATTGCGTAGATCTTACATCCACCGGTTCCCCCTCTCATTTCGCAACCGAAAAAATCAAATCAAATTCAAAACAAACTAAACCCTAAACTTTCACTTACCTTCCAACGCAGCAAGAAAATACTTTCTCGTTATCCAAACACTAATTAGAAAAGGAAACGAGTTTTAAAAGATGTGGAGCCAGCCTTATGGGAAGACTGACGTGGAGGCCGGAGCAAGGCCTCTGTATCCGATGATGTTAGAGAGTCCGGAGCTTCGCTGGTCTTTCATCAGAAAGGTTTATTCGATTATAACCATACAGTTGCTGGTGACAATCGCGGTGGCGGGGACGGTGGTTACGGTGCGTCCCATCTCTGAGTTTTTTGTGAGTTCGGGGGCTGGCTTGGCTGTTTATATAGTACTGATAATCACTCCTTTTATTGGTAGGCTTTTTGGTTTTTATTTTTTTATTTTTTGTGTTTTTGTTTGTGGTTCGTGTGTAATTGATTTTGATTTTGTGGAATTTGTTTCAGTGTTGTGCCCGTTGTATTACTATCACCAGAAGCATCCGGTTAATTATTTCTTGCTGGGAATTTTTACTATTTCTCTCGCATTTGCTGTTGGATTGACATGTGCATTTACCAGCGGTGAGTTTGTTTATTTCAATTTCTTTGTTTCATGGTGGAATTTTATTTTTTTTAATGAAGAAACTCCATTTGTAAGTGTTTATTGCTTAATCCAACTAGATTAGGTTAGGAAAATTTCTTGATTGGCAATGGTGTTGGTTGTGTTGATGATAGGTTGCCATTTAAGAGAAAAAGAAATGCTTATAATTTTTAGTATTGTCTTTCTTTCATATCTTTATTGCTTTTACCTGGTAGAACTATTTTAAAAAAAAAAAAAGTAGAAAATAGAAAGGAAACGAGGAGGTTTAATAGATGGAAGCATGGAATTGTTAATGGCTAATACAAGTTATTAATTTGCTGAGGGGTGGTGTTTGTTTCCGTGACGCATATACTTGTATACTTATATTTCTTTATCATACAAAATGAATCCCTTCCTTGTTCTGAAACATCATCATTTTCATTGACTCTTTATTTATTATTTGCTTATTTGTGAGTTGATTTGTACTTTCTCTCTTTTTCCAGCTATTACCAAATATAACATTAACAATCATACTGGAATTTTTGTTATTGCATTACTGAAATTTTTTGTTATTGCATTTGGGTGCAGGGAAAGTTATTCTAGAATCGGTAATTCTGACTGCTGCGGTGGTTGTGTCACTCACTCTTTACACATTCTGGGCTGCCAAAAGAGGCCATGACTTCAACTTTTTGGGGCCCTTCTTGTTTGGTGCTATTATTGTTCTAATGCTGTTTGCTTTAATTCAGGTATATTACCAATTTTGCCAATTCTCTTCTATCATTCTGTATAATTGCATGTCACAGGTTTCTCATTGTATGTTTGAATTATTTCTTTTGTGGTTGCAGATTCTATTTCCTCTGGGTAGAATCTCAGTAATGATCTATGGGTGCTTGGCGTCAATCATATTCTGTGGGTACATTATATACGACACAGACAACCTGATCAAGCGCTATTCTTATGATGAGTATATATGGGCTGCAGTTTCTCTCTACCTGGACATCATTAATCTTTTCCTCTCACTGCTTACTATCTTCAGAGCCGCAGACAGTTGAAGATGATTGCTGAGGTTTTGTTTCTCTTGGCTTTTGGATATAAGAGATTCTTGTTAATTACCTTCATGTTTTTCATTTATTAACGTTTTGCAGATAAATGTGAATGTTGTAAAAACTTGAATGCTATTAATTACAATTAGGATATACCTTTTCTCCATTCTTCGCTGTTAATTAATTGGCACTGGATGTAATAAAGCGTTTGAGATTCCTTTCATTCAGGGGTATGGGAAGCGATTCTATCATTTGCTTGAGCACAATCTTTCATTATCCAATACAACTAAGCAGCAAACTTATTGCAAGGAACTAGTATTTTCCTTTGGGACTTTCCAACGGTTTGCCCATTAAGTTACGTCTTGAAATTCCCTTTTGGTTCACATGTAAGTAAATCTGACTACGAACTTTCTCAAGGTTTTATTCTCCACATATAAATCTGAATTTGACTTGAAAGCCGTTGATCCTTCACCATTTGCGGCATTGATTAATTCGTTAAGTTTTGTCTATCACAGAATTGCTTCTGGGCTAAGTAACCAAGTTCTTTTTTCCTCGCTTTCTATCTGATGTATTCTCATCACTGTTTTTTAAAACCCAATCCGGCCTGGTTGATTGAATTGAACCGGTTCAATTGGAACTCAGAGCTTCATTGGATTGGATTACAAATTTTGCTATTTATTCAAAATTTTAGAAATTAAGATATCAATATGTGAACAATTGAAGGCTATAATGTTAGGGTTTTTGAAGAAAAACTGTTGGTGAGTGTAAAGGTGGCAATGGCGTCGATTTTCAGTGAGTGAATCGATCAGAAATTGTAAAAACAATGTTGGTGAAAACATCTAGCTATCGTCGGTGATTGGGGGGGCGTACGGGGGAGGGGTGAGATGAGTTTGGGTTAGGAGATTGAGTGGAGTGTTATCCTTGTTGGAAACAGGTCCTATTTGCCAATGTTGATAATAGTGTTTGGGGTGTTTTTGCAAGATTTTAAATCTATAAAGACTTACATGTAAATTTTATGGGGTATTTTTGTTAGATTTTAAATTTTTGAACACCAGTTTGATCTATCAATCAAATTGATTAAACCGATCAACCTAGGATTGGATCATTTTGTTAGGTTTCACTTCGGGTTAGGTTTTAAAACATTGATTCTCATTCGGAGATATATATCTTGGTTATAGATGCTCGAATAATGACAAACCCAGATGGATTTACTGTGCATTGATGGAGAATGCGTCAAAAGCAGAACAGATTACAAACTAATTAATAGGCAAACAATATGTCTCTTACAGATTTACATTGCACCATTGATGAGATTCTTTTCACTTTCAACGCAATGACTAGATGCCAGACCCACATAAAAGCATTTTTTTTTTTTTTTAATGCCAAAGCGAATCTCTTTTCATAACTTACACATCAGTTACCCCACCAGCTCTGCATATCCCGCTAGAGCCTAGAGGAATTATATCATTCGTTTTTGTTGTTCAGAAGACTCAGTGGCCTGGCCCTGGCCCCTCAGTAGACTTAAAATCTTTTCTTTCTTTCGGCAACAATGGCGAGAAGTCTTGAGACTCCCTGAGTCCAGATATCATATTCTTTCTGGTTCTTGCACTCAAATTCAACCACCCCTCGTGCCTCTGTCTTCAATCCAAAGTAGTGACGCTGTTCGCCACTGTCGAACAAGTGTCTTCCTGGCCAAGCTGGCATGTCTTTGCATACTCCTAATACTACATCTGCAACTCAAAGAAACTATGGTTTTAGGATGTATTTTGACATCTTAACTGGTTTTTGGTTATCTGTTTACATAAGCGAAGTGAATGGAAAGAACAACTTACTTTTCTTCTTTTTGGTGATGGTTTTTGCAACATGTTTGCTCTTCATCCTCAGTATCACCTGCATTATTAATTTTAATATCATGAAGATTAGATACAATTCACACACGGAGAGACATCACTTAAAAGCAAATGTACTAAAACAAAAGCTACCTGGCCTGTCTTGTTGATGTAAACAGAGACAATTTTCCAGTGAAGGTCACCTGTTCCAATATATATCATACATAAACATTGATGATCAATGACAATATTCCCGTAAACGAACAATTTTATTGAACAGAAGTTGATTAATTTATCACCTGTGCGGGTTCGTTTGAGAAGTTCAGAACCCTTGGCTAGGAACTCTTGGCTACAGGCACTTAGAAAACCATCTCCAGGGGCAAGCTCTCCGCTAAGGCTATGATTATGATGACTGTTATTGCCTCTACCACCAACTGACCCTCCAGTACCCCGCTCCACAGGTAATACCGCTGCAACATTCAGCACCTCTTTCAATGCTCTTGCTTTCAATGTTGCCGCCCCACGTAGAGCTAGATAGAAAAGAAATATTACCATTATTGAACTACGTACATTTCTTCTGGCAAAACAAAATGGTCATTTTATTGAATTTCTACCTGTAGCTGCTGCAGCTGTAAGAGTGAGAATGTCATCATGTGAACGGACATTCACAGCAGAGCTAATGACCGAAGCAAGGTGGTCGCGCTCAGCTCCCATAGCTTCTGCTGCCTCCACACACTGAGCAGCTACCAAGGTTGCCGCAGATGTCACTGCCGTATCCGTCTTGGCAGACTGCTCATTCTTTCTTGAAGATGAAGACGCAGCAGTGGCTGCTGTAACGGCTGCTATGGCAGCAGCCACTGAAGCCACTGAAACAGCAGCGTGGAGCTGCGCATTCTGGGTTCTGCTTTCTTCTTTCTTCTTCTCCTTTCTCTCCTTCAACCACCTCCCCACAGTCTTGGCTCTCCCACCGGGGGTGCTACAAACAATGTTGCTAGCACTAGCGCGTGTGTTATTATTGAATAGGGGTTGAATGGAGTTGTGGCAACGAAAATACTGCATGCATTTAAAAACTCAAATAAAAAATCTTCTTACAAACAAAGACTAAAGGTGTATTTAAGTTCAATTGTGTCACGAAAATTCAACTTCTATATCATCAACCATTTGAACCATCAGAAGTAATAGGCATTGTTGTCAGAATTTGATGAGTTTATCACTGTGTTAATGGTTTCTCATGATAAATTTAACATATATTAAATTTCTGTAGCCAATCAGTCTATGGTTTTACTTTCAAGAAAACAGAGAAAGATTGTTAACGTGAGATGGGAGGGAAAGATTCTGCATAACAAGCCTCATTACCAAAGCTTAAATCACAGAGAAACATGCCAGAAAAATTGTCAGCTTAATCAGCTACGTTACCCAATTCAACACTCCACTGTACAGTTATTTTTGCAAATAAAAACAAAATAAGGGTTTGACTCTTCTGCAGTTTCTCTAGAGGACTGAGGGCAAGACCAGCCGAATTAGCTTTAGGATTGCAATAATTACCACACTAAAATCAAAATAAATTATTAAAAAGAAAATTTTAGTGGTCTAAAGACTAAAAGCAAATCCTCATCTTTTTTTTTTTATTAATGATAAAAGAAAGCTAGCCGTCAAATATAATTACGCAAAGCTAAAATTTGGCCTTAATAAATGAATGTGTTAATTAAGGCAAAAGTTGACCAGCTATTTTTCGTTTGTTGTGAAGTTGGGTTTTGGGCTTTTTGTTGATAAGACACCTTAAACTTAAAAGATAAAGGTTTAATGGGAAGAAGACAAAACAAAAGCAAGCCTCTGTATTTTGTGTGGTGTATTTACTGGATTTCTACTAAAGTAACTGTAACGCAAAAACCAGTGCTAGCAGAAGATGGGTGTGGCAGAAATAAGCAGAGAAAGCTGAGATATTGGTCTCCTTCCTGTCTTCAACGCTTATTTCCTTTCTTCTTCAACAAAAAAATATTCATTCTTGAAAAAACAAATGGGAGTAAAAAACAAGAATAGTACCTTAACGACGTCGTCGAACTCTTCGGAGGGAGACACTGGAGGGCTGTCTGTTTCTGTCAAAGAGCCTCCATTCAAAGGTCCACTACTGTGAGAGAGCCGCCCGGACGTTAATGGTGAAACTTCCTGCATGTATTAAAAACCCGCAAAGAAAAAATCTTTAAGTTACTATTTGGAGCTAAAACAACAAAAATGAAAGCTTTTTAATCTGTCTTTCACAAAATGCACTCACGGATTGAGACATGATACGTTCAAGAACGAGCTGAGAAGTTGCAGAAGAGGCGAAAGAGAACTGATTTGCAGACCCAGAAGCGGCATTGATGAGCTCCTCAGTTTCACCGGCGATATCTTCAGGAATAGAATTTGTAGTGCAAGAAGAAGCACTGGCTGACTTGTTGCAAGAAGAAGAAGGCGCGAGAACTTTGGCAACTTCAAGAGCTGAGACACTCCAAGACCTCGACAAGAACTCCATCGGCCCTCTGGGACTCTCCGGCAAGTGGGTTCCCGGAAAAGAGAGCAATGCTCTTGGAGTTAGAGTAGTACTACTACTTGTTTCTTCCATATAATGTGCTGAATGTGAAGACCAAATTAAAGAAAGTTCTTAAAGAGAGTTCGATGCTAAAGCAACAAGCTATTCTATTCCTATATAAAGAGGTGACTGACTGAATTTGTTTGAGAGTTAATGACATTTTCGTCCCTGAGGTTTGACAAAAGAAAAATTAGATCCAGTAAAATCAGAAAAAAGCCATTTTGCTCCCTGTCAGTGTCATACCAAAATTGTTACATTCCATAAGGGCATTTTTGTCATTTTACACTAATAACTTATGAAATTTTTAATTATAATTCTTAAAATTCAATATTGAAATAAAATAATAGTTAAAAATACTATAAACATAAAAAAAGAGAAGGACAAAGATGCCCTTACATCATTTAATGAAATGTACAATACTCTTGATCTGAATCATCTGATAGGCACTATACTAAAGTGATTTTTTTTTTTTTTTTCCTGATTTTACTGGACTTAGTGTACTTTGTCAAACCTCAGGGACGAAAATGTTATTAATCAATAGTTTGAGTTTTTCGTTCGTTTATAAAAAAAAAAATAAAAAAAGGTCTGGTCAATTATGAGTTAAAGTAAATCAGGGTATGGTAAAGAGGCATGTGAAAATGTAGCTTTCAAATTGACAAGTGGCTTCATTTTTGGTGGACCCTCACTCAATTTTAAGGTTTCAATAGATCAGGAAAAACTTCAAACTATTAGGAGATGCATGTGATGTGATCAATAAATGACTTTTACTTTCAAATCTTCAAACTTTCATCAGTTTTATATAAATACTAAATAGGGCTTTTCTTGCTTTTGTTAGCCTGAAGCTTTGATGGTTTAGCAGTAAATGAAAAAAAAAAGTGATTACCATTCTGAACAAAAGTTTTGTGATTACAGAGAGGGTTGGTTTACTGCTATTCTGCTAATAAGGGCAGACTCTTTTGGGAGCTTTGTGTTTGTTTCTTTTCCCAAAACAAAGATAAACCCCCTCTTTTATTCCTCTTTTGTGACACTAATTTCTTGCTTCATTTTCATCATCCGAGATCGATGCTTTTGTTAAGGGCTTAAAGTTGCTATTTACTCTCTTAATAACATAGATTCCCTCTTTCATATGCCTTCTGTTTTTTTTTTTATAACCGGGGTGTTTGCCTGTTTGGGTCAGTTTACGCGCATCTCTACTAATCCATAAGGCCTATTGAATACCTCGACTAATCTTCGAAATCCATTGAATACCTTACAAACTCAATGTTCTAAGATAAGTCACAAATATAATAGATAGTCCCAAAGTTCAAACCCAAAAAATCAATGAAAGAAGCAAACCTTATTGATCGTCAAGCCAACCCCTTGGAGTTAATAAAGAACATTCATATGTATTTCCTGTAATTTCATACAATTTACCAAGCTCTTTGGGCAAACATCATGGAATTGACACCCACCTAGATGGTCCTCGGCATAGTTGGGACAACCTACAAGTATAAACACCTATAAGCTGGGTATATCAAACCACCATGAACGTTGATTTCAAGAGTGATGGACCACTCCTTAAGTCCTTATATGAGGATTTTAATAGTAAATTCTACCCATTTGTATTGTTACGTTATCAGCCAAAAATTTCAAACAAATTTTAATTAAGAAAAAGATTGCCACGCAAGGTAAACAAGAAAACAGAGTGGACAGCACAGTAAAATGATCATGTTTCAAACCTGTCCCATGTCTTGGCAATGTCCATGGCCGACAAGTTTAGAAGTGGAGACAAATTTAACCTGAAGCCCTGAGGCAAAATTTAATTTTCTACTATAGTTTTTTCCGGACACAAAGCTGGCTCTTCTGTAGGGGGGAGACCTCACTAAACAGACCCCCAAATTTTAATTTTAAAATAGGCGTGCCTGAATACGTCATCATCTTCCTTTTGATCTCACCTTCTCCATTACAAAGCCTTGTGTCTTCTTCCTTTTTCTTTTATTTACTGATCCAAAACAGCTTTCTCTTTTTTGTTTTCTTTGTTTTTTACCTGATGACCACTGCTTTAAAGAGATACCCTTTATTCCCTTCGCCTCATTTAAACAGCTCTCATCTCACCTTTCATTTTCCAACCCATTTGCGTTCTCCCTGTTTCAAGTTTAATTCTATTAATGAGAAACTTTTTAAGAAACATTCCTTTCAAGATTGAAATGTTCCAAGCTTTGAGGCGTGGCCTGAGGCTCCTTCAGCATTTCTCTGTTGCCGAGATGGAGATGGGGGGATGATTCTTTTTGAATGTTGTATATAAATTTTGACATGAATGATAAGTTAAAAATGATATATGACAGGGAAGTTAAAATTGCAGATGACAGTGCAGGCGGTAACAAGATTTTTGTTGGTTTTCTTCTGATAATGAGCAGGACAAATAGCGATGTTTCAAGCCAAAGCTGTAATGCATGCAGGGATTGGGCACTTAAAAGTGCAATTTGTTGATCAATACAAAGCCACTGACCGAGACTATAGACTGAAATAAGTACACAATTTGTCTGTCCAGATTGCCTCTACTTAAACAATGGTAACTACAATTAGAATGTGATGTAAAGAAAGATTTACGGAATACTGAAACTTTGCTATTTCACTCTTTTTGGTCTATGGCAACTTCACCCAAAAGTAGTGTTGGATTGAGAGTCATTCTTTAGGCCTATACAAAAGTTTGGCTTGGAGATCATTCTGATGGTCAGAACAGTTAACTGATGAAAGTAGAATTTTTGCCCACAGATAGTACTTCCATGTAATGTAGCTTAAAATGGAACTAGAGAGACACAATATATCTGCCTAGGTTCTGAAAATATTCATACTTGAAGTAAGACAATATGCGGATTGATTTCATCAATCCCAATGATACAAGCCCAAGAACCAGCAATAGACATTTGAAAATCATTCCTGCATTGCTGCGCAAGCTTGCCTTTGACTAGAACTTAGCATGTTGAAAATCAAATTCTAGAGATTGTGTCCCAAACTGTCCACAATGATATGGCGGGAAGTCTTATCGGGCACAAGAGTGCAGCAGTGTTGAAACCTATGTTCACACAATAGTCAACCGAGACTGTGCAGCATCAGTCAATTAAAATCTTTTTTTTTTCTATGACCGAGGGTGTCCGGGATAACTTGTACACACCTCAACTAATCCTCTGAGGCCTTCAAATTGACGATTGGATAAGCCCCTCAATGGCCAATACCAGGTTTGAGGATAGCAGTAGCACTCACTTCATTGAACAGGACCAAGCTCTCTTGCATAACAAAACTAAAACCAATGACCAATGAAGTTTCAAAGCTAATGTATCAGTGTTCAAACAGTATGGAAGAGTTAAAACTTCACTGATCACAGATCCCAGTACAGTAATACTATATTTCCCGACCAAAATACCGATTTTTATATACCGACTCACTACCCAACAACCCAAATCTCAAAATTTAACTCAGAGTCAGTATGTCAAATCGGTCCTGGGTCGGTAAGCCTAGCATTACTGATCCCAGTATTAAAATTTTAAACAATCCAACAAAAATGCTAGAAAACTGTACGGTAGAGCAATTACATATTTGAGAATCACGTCTTAAGCACTTAGAAGCTCCATTAACAAACAATATTCGCAATTAGCCTCCCCAAAAATCTATATGTTTGATGCAATTACTTTAAGACTGAAACGTAGATTATATAGGCAGCTTAAATTTCATACTTCTTAATGACAAAAGCATGTTATAAAAATGCAAGGACCTTCCGGGACAATGATGCAGCTAAAGACAAATGAAGAATATATGATTGAATGCGATTAAGGACAAGAATGTGATGTTTTTGAAAAACTGATTCAAAGATAGTACCAAGCAATATGATCAGAGGATAGATGTCATAAAGGCTCTTACCAAAAATTGCACCAATACAGACTATTAAAATACAAGGAGCTATTTCATCTATTAGATTGTAAACCACCACCACCACCATAATACTGCTTGGTAGTTTCACATGAGAAATCCGCAAAAGTCATCCCATCCTTCAATCTCAACGAGAGTGGTGGAATGATTTTACGAATTTCTTCAGTCAATCTAATCCCATCCTGCTCGGCAACGTTTCTTTTATCATCTGGTACTCCAGAGCACTGACCATCTAAGTTGCAGTTTTGTGTAGGATAATCTGACATTGAGAAGGTTTTGCTCCATGCAGGTTGCAAAAACATAACAAAAGTTTCCCTGCTTAAATTTTCTAACTTTGCTGGCCTACAAACACAGTGAAGGGTAGAGCGAAGCCTCCCCTTGGTCAAGATATCAGCTGATTCTCCAACCTGAATGATGAAACTTTCAGAAGAAGACTTCACCATCCGAACCTTATTCTTGCTGGGATCGAAAATTTGTAAACATGTATGACCACTTGGAGAAGGGCTTTCTTTATCACAAGATAATGTGTATTGCTCTTTCTCTGTATTTTCCGGTAAATAAGAGGACAAAATAAATAAGGGGTCCGTCAACACAGTGAAGATACCGTAATCATAATGCCACTGCTGCCACAGGTTGGAATGAGTTCCAAAAAGTCCAACCCCATCACTGTTTACATCCACATTAGTGTGTTCTCTCTGTTTTTTCTCACCTGTTATGCAGTCCACCAGATCGTTTTTCCGATTAGCCTGTCTTCTTGAGCTTCCGCTTTTTCTACCAGCTTCTTTTAAAACAATGTTATCCAGTATTGAATGATAATGTATAAGGCGCCCTTTCGCCGTGCACGATTCCAACAAACTGTGCTCAAGCTCTTGGCCACCAATGGCCTTATCACATATTTGTGCAAGACAGAGCCCCAGCTCCATCATACAAAATCCCAGCTCCTTGAAAGTATTGCCAAGATTCTTAAATTCATCATCTGGTAAATCTTGGTCTGAACTCTTTAAATTATCCAATTCCCCGCCTTGTTCATATCTAAGTTGCATAGCGAAAGATGACACATTCCTTTCTGGATTCTTCAAAGGAACATCACTACCCAAGTTATGATCCTAAAATTTTTGGTTAAAATAAGAGCAGTACTAGTAAGTTAAATATCAAAATAGAGAACACTGAAACAAATGTGTTGCACTAATGAAGGTAATATACAGTATCTCAACAGAAATGAGAAGCCGGGTATTTCTATTCTAGGTCAAAGTTTTAATAGGGATTTAGGTAAAGGAAATGGGTTTACCTTAAAAATGCGTTTGCGATGATCTGGGTTGAGAAGGGCGAGCTTCCGAGCGAGCGGGAGGAGGTTTCGCCGAAGATTAGAAGCTTTTGGGACACCAGTGATTGAGAGCAGACCTGGGCCTCTCGGGCCCAGACTTTCCATTATATTTGCCCTTATTGTTTCCAGCCTCTCTACGTCTTCTTTCGAAGATGAAGATGAAGATGAAGATGAAGCTAAGAGCTTCAGATCTGAATAACGGAGCTCGAAAAGCTCTAGGATTTCTGCTTCTGCCATGTCTCCCAGTCCCACAACATATGTTTCGATATAACAACTGATTTATAATGGTTAGACCATTTTATAAGACTTTACAAGAATTGCAAACTGTCTCAGTAATTTGAGGGCAATATGTATGGATTTCTAATGTTTCTTAGGCATTATATAAATAAATCATCTTACCCACAAAACGATTATATATATAAATATAGTTTGATACAGGCAATGTAAAGATAATTTAAGAAAACGTTCCATCTTCATCTTTCTTCAATAATCTTGAATTTCCAAACACAAGCTCTCCTGGGATTGGTAAGATTCCAATCCTCATTGGTTTTCGGTTTTGAAGACTCGGCTTAAACCAAAAATCCTTAGTAAGCAACACACAAAACTATACAAGAGGTGAAATCCATAAGCTATTCGCATTTCAGCTAAACTGCAGTCTCTTTGAAGCTTTTAGCCAACCAGATGGCAGTTTCCCTGGGCGAAACCTTCTCGGGCCCGAATGGCTTCAACAGCACTCCAAGCTCTTCAAATCTCTGTTGTTGCAAAAGCCTAGCACTGAATTCCAGCAACCCTTCCAATGCCTCCGCACGTTGTTGGTATGACGAGGTGTCAAACCGCCGGTTCTGTGCCTCAAAGGATGAACGACTTGAAACACCATTTGGTAGATTATGCTCTGAGCATTCACTTCCATTCCACGCAACTCCATGGCTTGCATCAATGAAATTTGTCCTGGTAGTGGTTCTATCTAGAACCTGTACCGTACACTTGTCCTTTGTAATTGAGCAATCGACACTGTATGGTGAAGAAGAAGAACACACTGCAGATGTTGATGAGGTTCGAGGAATGGGAAAGAAGGGGTCTTCAGATGAGGCCAGGGGGAATTCAGCGATCTTGTCAATTCGTGGGGCATTGACAGAAACATCTGGAGACTTCATGCTGCTGCAAACCTTAGCTCTACAAGGAGTTTCCAAGGTTCCAGCTCTTGTGGTCAATGGAAGAGATGCTCTGCGTGTAGTGTGGGAAGTTTTGCCCACCGGAGTATGTGAAATCGGCAACTGTGACACAAGCATACGGTAAATAATATGTATCAATAGCCATCATCTTCCTAAGAAGATATGTAACCATCTAATTCAGAGATTGTCTACTTGAAATATATTAACTATGAGACCAAGAGAATAAAATTGGTGCTCAGGATCTTAAACATTAAGATAAAACCAATAGATATTATATACAAAAGGAAAAAAACAAATTATCAAAAAATGAGAAAAAGTTATGCATCTATTAAAATTGCTGAACTAGATATTCTGATATTCATAGCTTAAAATAATGGTTTTAATCCTAAGCCAAGCGTAAACTGAACAAAGACTCGGACAAATTTCAAATAATACTTCAAATTTGTTCCTTTTTATTAAAGGATACAACTCCCAGGAAGATTAATATTCTATTTGTCTTGCATGACTATGGAATGCTAAGATATATGCTATAGCCAACAGCTTTCATCCATAAGCAAAAAGATGAATAGCTTGAGTGTTGCAACGCATACTTACCGAATCACGTTTTGAACCAACATGTGGTATCTTAGATGGTGTTGTCTGTCTTCTGGGAGTAGCAGATATTTTTGCTGGTGTTAGCCTAGGGGTTTTACCAACATTCGAGAATTTAATGGATGTTGTCTTGTCAACGCCAATCTCCTCATGGACTACGCCAAATGATAATTCTCTGAATTTTTTATTCAAATAACTTCCAAATTCCCGAGCTCTGTCAGTAGAAGATGGGAAGTCTTGCTCAGTTTCAGATGCAGTTGGATTCAAGGCTCTATCATTGCTGAATGACCGCCTTTTCTCACCACCAGTGCGAATGGAAACAGTATCCAGGTCCATGAATCTAGTTTTCTTGATGATGTTGGAATCTGAAAATTGTAATGGGAAAGTATTCCGTCTGGGGCTATTATATTTTAGATGAATTCTAAGGACATAAGGTTGAAGATGCGGATGACTGAGCAACTCTGCAGCCTGGCATAATCACAATACATTTCACCCATCAGTAAGGTACATTGATCTAGACAAATATTCTCCAAACAAATTCAACATCAAACAATAATTTCCAGCAACAAGAACCCAGCAGTTCAACTTAATATGACACACATGCCAAACATGATACAACATGGACTGTCAAAATAGTTTAACTTGGAACATGCGCCCTAGCAGACAAGTAAGCTTCAATGTCTCCTTTAAACTTAAATAGAATGACATACAGTTGGAACTCCCCTTTTACAAGAATACATAGTCCTTAATCCAATCCTAAATTTCTACACCTTAAAATTTGTAGTAAAAATCTGCAGTCATCTCATGCATATGTTCAAAAAAGCAAAAAAAGATATAAATAAAATTTAATAAAGGGGGAGAAAACATACACTGGGTCTAAGTTCTGGATTTTTCCGTAGCATGCTTTTGACAAGCCCTCGGCTGGGAGAAAAAAAGAAAAAGAAGCAAAAAATATATAGATTAGAAAATCCATGCTATGGTTACCAATCAAGGCCCACATGTCTAGAAATTCAAAAAACAAAAAGGAGCGAAACACTTTTTCAAAAGTTGGGTAATATTGAGAATACGAGAAATTCAAGATCATCTGACATATTTATAACAATTTTCTACAATATTGTCAAACATTCACAAAACTGGACATGACAGATGCAAAATAGTGTATAGACTATAGAAGTAGACAGTGCAATAAGTATAAAGCGGAAAGTAACCTACAATGCGCCTGAGTACACAGTCGGAAGAGGAGCCACTATAGACTTATTTATTTTGTTAATCAGAGCCTGCATATCCTGTTCAGAAAATATAGGAAACCCAAAGTTGATGTGATTAAATCTCTAACATAAAGCAACACTACTAAGATGTCAGGAGCATAATCAAAAATTATAATGAAACAAATCAGATTGAAAACTTCAACATTGTAAAAAATCCATCCATGAGGATAGGTAGTTCGTTCAAGACTGAAATGAATTTATCAATCAAATTGTCACTCATAGTGCCATCAATATGTAGTTTTAATCAATATATCCATCAATGTTACATTTAGGTTCTCATATCTAATAGATTCACATTATGCCTCCATTTCTCTGTTCCCCTCTACTTTCCTACCGCTTTCTCCTACAGTATTTAACATGATAAAGGGCAAAGCAATTTCCAGAATTGGAAAAACTTTGCTCCACTCAAAGCAGTAAAAGAGACTTCACAAAATAACCAGGAATTCGAAATTGAAAATAAAAGAGGTTTTAACTTAGAGAATAACTCATTGTTTTGAAATAGGATTAGGATAAATAATGATAAGGTGAACTCTAAACATAATGTCTTACTGAACATAACAAACCATTCTCTGCAATTGATGCAGAACATCCTCCAAAAAGGAAAAAAATATGGATGTGATTATTTCATTAGCATCCCATTTACAATATAGTGTTATTCAGAGCTGAGACATGGAAAAACGAAAGGGTAAACAGATAGAATGGCTGCAAAACAACAACTTACAAATGCTTTAAATGCAGGCTTCTGGGCACACATTTCATATATGCAGCATCCTGGAAAACACAGAAGGTTAATCATATGATAAAAATACAGAAAGAAAATAGAAAAAATTAACAACTACTAAATTACAAAAAGATTTAGTTTTACCAAGAGACCAAATATCTGACTTGGATCCATAAGGTATATCAGCAAGAAGTTCAGGGCACATATAACTGGGAGTTCCGACTACCTTTATTCGTAGTAGAAACATCATAATGATTAGATCAAGCAGATGGAAATATCAGAATAAATCCATGTCAACAATACTACTTACAGAGGATGCGAGATCATCAGAAGTCAACATTTTAGCAAGGCCAAAATCACCTGCATCAAAAACAAATTTTCAAAATTATATATAATTTCAGGGAAACATAAATGACTGACAGGCACTCTAACATAATGGATCAGGAGAAACAGTAGTCTCAAGTGGATCGTTTACCTAGACGTATGTCTTGATCTCTTGTCAAAAATATATTTGAGCACTGAAGCAAATTCATAAACACCATCAAAACAAAATGGCTGATGAGATTTTACACAATAATTAACTAACGCTCATAGCAATTGAACCAGAAATTCCCAATTACCTTGACATCACGATGAAGAATATGATTGGCGTGCAAGTAATCAAGTGCCATAAGGAGTTGAACAAGCCACTTACAAATTTTCTGAGAAATGAAACAGTAATTACAGTTAAATACAATGATTAGCCTGAGATATACAAAGCAGAAACAAGGACACGGAAGTAATTACCTCTTCAGGAAAAGGAACACCATTGGCCCTTTTTATAGCTTCTGCCCTTTAACATAACAAACGACATTGTGAAAAGGTTAAAGACAAACAGCAATCCTACTAGTGAAGAAATAGCCAAGCAGATGGCAGAAAAGTAACAAAACTTACATGTCTCCTCCTTCACAGTATCCTATGATAATGCAAACATAGCAACCCTGAAAGTGAGGATGCCAAATCGTCAGTTGCACAATCATAAGAGAGACTACAAATTCTTCATAATTTATGTGTCATATTAAATAGACCAAAACACAGAGATAAAAACAGAAATCTTGCACTCTAGTTGAATTCCACAGCAACATAAAAAGAAAGAAGACTTTTATCAAGCCCAAAAGTAACACGACAAATGAAAAGGTATTGACCTGTTATCCATCAATGTTTTTACAGATTTAAGTGGGAATATTTGCTCACCTTTTCCACCCAAGAATCTTTGTACTCCACAATAAACGGATTCCGTACCCTTGAAATAAGCTCCATCTGCAGCACAAGGACCCAAAATGCAAACATAATGCCTTGCTTCACATCTATATCTACTTTAAAAATATTGAAAAATTCAGAGACCACAATGAAGCGTATCTAAGTCTCAAGCAATCTAACATTAGCTATTTTACCTACAACTACCACCAGCCTACAAGCAACTCTGAGAAATTTTAGCTCCCTCTATTTGCATTTTTCTGTTTGACTAAAGACCAGAAGTAGATATCTTTTATTTAAAAAAACATGGTTAATATAATTCATCAACTGGATTTCCACAAAGTTATGATGGAGTATTGTTCATTTATCATATCACGTTTGGTGGAATGAGTATAACGCCAGTGATTCTGCATTTTTCAGTTTAAACAAGAAAAATCGCACTTGAAGCACTGACCTCCTGATGGGCAGATCTACGTGCTCTATCAGTCTGACGAGCAAGCCGGATCTTTTTCAGTACATACCTAGAAAGTAATACAGAAACAAAAAAATAAATCACCAAGAAATACATAAACTCAGTAAAACCTCACATTTAAACCAAACACACGAACAATTAGAAGAAACCTCTCACTTTTTCCTTTCATGTTTATGCCTCACAAGAAGAGCAGAGCCAAAAGATCCTTTTCCAATCTGCTCGAGAATTTCATACTGCTCCATTACAAATTTTAGTTCTTCCCTCTCAGTTTCCCCCTCGTGCGTCTTTCTAAAAAAAAGAATTTTACTTCCACTCTGACAAGTATGAAACACGGAAGCTTCAGATATACAGAAAAAACTTACAAAGAAAATTCCTTTAATGCTGAGTAATTATGCAAATAGTTCTATCAAAACCCATAATTGCGACCTAACGTTAAACACATATACACCAATAATTCTCATAAAGTGATGAAGCAAATTGTCCGTAAAGTTGACAATTGTTACATCAAAGTTAGGGTTTACCTTTTTCCTAAACAATAAAGCCTAAAAACCAGCTTCTCGTCAATAACAAAAGCAACTCTGAAGTGAATACAATAGTGAATAATTGTAGCATTGAGTAGTTTTTCGCCTGTTCCTCAGTCTAATCAACGATTAAATAATTAACCATCATTATTTATCCATAAGGACCATAACACAAAAGCAACTAACCTGTACCAAATGCTATCATAGCTACTAAAATTTTGAATTTAAACAAACAAAAAAAAACAAAAATATACCTGATATTATAATCTAGTTGAAGCTCTGACTGTGCGAATTTGAATGTGACGAAAAGGGAGAGAAGTTTTGAATTGAAAGTAAGGAAACTTCTACCTACTTTAATATTATTTTAATGTTGAAATCATAAATAGAGCGGCAAAAGGATTGGGGAAGGCATTTAAAATTCAAAATAATAAGGTGGAGAGAGAGAAAAAGGTAAAGTGGCACTTTCATTGGATTATTTTAAATGGGCCTTTTGGCCCAATTTAGATTCTTGAATGAGACTGAAAGCGAAAGCTGCGCGCAAGTGGTTGTCTGGTCTTATGGGTGGACCCGTGTGGCGATACGACGTAGTACTGTTTTAACTTTTAAATGTGTAGGAGTCACGCCGGCATTCCGTATTCGGCTAAAGCGTTTATGGAATAGAATTGGGTTGGTGAGCTTGAGAGGATTCTCCTTATTAAAATTTTGATTGGTGGTTGAATAAAAAAAAAATGTTTTGATTTATATATATCTTTTTTATTTTTTACATTTATATTTTAAAAAACTAGAATAAAAATAAATCATTATCTTCAACTGAGTTTTTAAAAACTCCCAAAAAAAAAAAAAAAATTCTAATTATACATGGGATTCTCTATTTTTTTTTTTTTTTTCTTCTAACAAATGAAAACATTAAAGAATGAATATATTATAAGTCTTTTTTTTTTAAATAAAGTATGAGAAAAAAAAGGAAAAAAAAACAACATCCTAAATAAATAAATATGAATTGTCTTGACGTGTGTCCTACGACCACGTGTTAAGTTAGATCATAAATTTTATTTTGATAAGTATTTTATCTTTAAAACACATGTTAAAATAACTCAATAAACATATATTAAGACGACTTAATAAATATGAATTTTTCTTTTTCTTTTTTTTCCTACAATTGTAGACTAATAACAAATTAAGTATAAACTTTGTCACCACTAGGGGTGCAGTCGAACCGAGTAGCTCATGAGCTACTCAGGTTCGACTCGTCGGAAAACGAGTAGTTCACGAGTTCGAGCTCATCTTCAAGCTCGTGAAAAATGTTGAGCTTTTTGGGCTCGATTCGAACTACTCGCAAACTTCTGAGAAACTCGAGACGTCATTCGAGTAGGAGAGCTCGTGAGATCGATTGATTTGTTTCAGCTCACGTATTCAGATTTGCCTTAAAATCTGAAATAAAGACATTCGGCCGAAAACAGAGACATTTTCCCTTCAACCGTATTTCACCTCCGCCAAATCACACCGCAAGATCTGAGACGCCACTGTTGTCCAGCCTTCATCCAACCTTCATTCAGCTACTACCGACCAGCGACCAGCCTTTAGCTACTACCATCCACCGTCGTCTTCCCTTCTTCACTTCTATTACTCTGTTTGAGTTACAGCTTCAAGGTGCCACACATATCAAAATGTAGAAAACTTTGACGATATCTATTGTTACACCCAGCAAGTGGATGCATAGCTCAATATTTTGACACGATCTCTCTGTTTAAACTTTGGGTTTGGGAACATATACTAAGGTTATCTTTTGGGTGAAACAAAAGGTTCTTTATATGTGCATTGTTATGTTTACCAGAGAAATATTTTGTTTGGTTTGGATATGCAAATAATATATATTTTTGTTTATATTTTATGATCAGTTGTCTCAAAAGGAGATAAATTTGGAGAAGTTGCAGAGAATTGCTGACACAAGACTTCCTGAAGGAGAAGGTTTGCCTGCAATAGTTTGGAAGGTATGTAAGGTTTTATTTATTTATTTTTATTGTTAGTAGCATGCTTTTATTCTATTTAATTTTGATTAATTTAGCTTATGTAAATAGTTTTGCAATTTGAAATTTGCAAAACAATATTACAAATGACATTTGCATGATCCTACAATGTAAATGCTTTGGCAGAAAGAAAATGTAGTAAAAAAGAATTATCAATAGTGGATTATTGCCTATCATCTACATGACAATTTAACTGTTAGCTGTTGTTTTAACTTCTTTATTTATTTTTCTGTCATAAGATTGATTATACTAGTTCATTCAGCATTATATGACATGTTCAAGAAAATGCTACATTGAATATCTAACAAATGTCCATGGAAGCTGCTCTGAAGTTGGAGTTCAATTAGAGTCAGTCATACAAAGGTTCTGTTTTGTTGTGTTTAAGTGGGTGAAAATTTCTACATTGCTTGTTAAGATAGATAGTAAATTAAGTTATAGAGGATGATTGGTGTACCATGTGGAAGTTATCTGGGATGTTATGTATTCCCAATGTTTTACTTGGATAAAGTGGTGTATTTCCTAACCTGATGCTTACCTAGTCACTATCTGTCAATCATCCATTAGATAAATTAGGTTCAGCTTACATAGATGGTATTACAAATGAAGTAAATATTCCTACATAGTAAAGTGAAGCAACTTTGTTCTATAATATGGGATAGCCATTTTGTTTCCATAAGGTTCATGTTGATGTATGTATATTTATAAAAAAATGTTTTTATGTTAGTTCTTTTCATGCAAGAAAAATCTGCAGTAGCGCTGATGATTAATTTCCACTTGAAGTTATTTCACAAGAAAAGGGTAGAAGAAAACCCACGTGCATGACTACTTTCTATGATGGGCTATCGTTACCTCTATTTTTACTGCTTCTCTCATCTGAAACCTAAAAGACATGCTTATTCTACTTACTAATGAATAATGATGGCCCCTGCTAAAAAAGTGAACATTTATATATATACTTGTATTTCAATTTGTATAATGGAAATGAAAATATCAATGCATATAGATGTATTTTATTTTGGATACCAATGGGAAACAGAAGTCAATCTGATGATAGCAATACATCCCAAGGAGTTGGAAGAGGAAAATATTAAAATATGAATGTTATTTAGTTGAATGGATTAGGTACGATAATTATGGGTTTCATGTAGGTGACTGATATCTATTTTGGGGTTTTATATGCATAAGTATTAACCAAGCTTACCAAGTTCTTAGCTCTGTTAGTAGCCTTGTTACTGAATTAGTTCTTAGCTTTGCAGTGCAGTTTAGATTTCGTTTTTGTTTGTGAGGAGTGAAATATGATTTTAATTGGCTTTGTTGGGTTTCAGTCATCTGTGGTTCTGTAGTTTGCTATAATGGTTTTTAGCTTAATGTTTTTTACTTTATATTCTTTTTGCAGAGGGATTTGTTTATTCCAATGGAGCATCTGTCATTCACCTCCAATCGAACACACCCTTCCGCTTCACGAATGCAACCAGTAGAAGATATCTTTGAAACATGGTCTTATGACGATGCCACACCCACAGGCACACCCGGTGAAGGTGTTGATGCTTCTGCCCCTCGTATTGATGAGGAGCAAGTTAATCCTTTTTAGAGGAAAAAGAGACCAAAGACATCAACTGTGTGGAATGAATTTAAAGAGGTAGTTCTACCGGATGGTTCTACAAAGGGAGAGTGTATTCATTGTAAGACAAAGCTTGAAATAACGGAGACCAAGAGCATAACTCAGTTTGCAAGACATTTGAAATCATGTTTGAAGCGAATAGGTAGTCAGAGGCAAACACAGTTGTTTTTTCGGCTAGCCAGTTTAACGGATGAAATCTCAATGCAATCTGCACTTACATTTTCAGATGCCAAGTTTGATATGAGCAAGATGCGGGAACTAGCTTCTAACTAGGTGCTCATGCACGAGCATCCATTTATAGTTGTGTAGGAGGAGGGTTTTAACATGATGCAAAGATGTGGTATGCCACATTAGGAGAAGATAACGTGTACTGCTTTGAAACAACATTGTGTGATTGTGTATGAGATACAAAAAAAAAAGTTGGTTAATTTGCTTAAGAGTATTAACAAGATTAGTTTGACGATTGATCTATGGAATTCTTCTAATCAGAAGCTTGAGTACATGGTTCTCACCAAACATTTTATTGATAATGATTGGAAGTTGCAGAAGCGTGTGCTCAATTTTGTTCATATACCAGCTCCTCAACCTGGTGTTGAGATTGCTGCTGCTATTCATAAATGTCTAATTGAATGGGGAATTGAGAATAAGGTGTTCAGTATCTTGATTGATAATGCTTCAAGTAATGACGCAGCAATTAAGATTTTGAAGGAGAATTTAGGAAGAAATAAGAAGCTAATGTCTGGTGAGAGGTTGTCTCATGTGCGATGCGTGGCACACATATTGAATCTCATGGTTCAGGATGGGCGTTCCCAAATTAAGCCCATCATTCAAGACATACGTGACTGTATTTTGTATGTCAAGCAATCAGTGACCAGAGTAATTATGTTTTTAGAGATTGTTCAGATGTTGCAGTTGCCCAAGCAGAAACTCATATTTGATTGCAAAACGAGGTGGAATTCTACTTGTGAGATGTTGGCACTTGCAATTCAGTACAGAGATGTGTTTCCAATGTTAGTTCAATTGGATAATAACTTTACTTGTGCCCCAATATACAAAAATTGGGAAAAACTTGAGAAAGTATGCGAGATTTTGGAAGCCTTCAACTTGGCAACTAATGTCGTGTCGGGGAGTGAGTACCCCACTTCTAACTTATTTTTGCAAGAAATTGTTGACATAAAAGAGTTGCTAGATGAAAAGTGTTCTGATGATGATGATTTCATTCAGTCAATGGTGAGAAAGATGAAAGAAAAGTTTTACAAGTATTGGGGGGAATGCAATTTTGTAATGACAATTGTAGATGTATTGGATCCGAGGATGAAAATGAGGCTGCTGCAATTTGCCTACCCATAAATGTATCCTGATGAAGAAGCACAAGACAAAATTGATGAAGTGCAAGCTGCCTTGTATGAGATTTATGAGGAATATGCAGCGAAAAGTCAATCTTCCAATAGTGAACCACCTGTAGAAATTAGTAAAATTCAGCGGGACAATGTACAATGCCCTAAATGTACTAGTTTATGGTTCTGTCAGTTTGTTAGGACAACTAAAACGGTGCAACATGAGAAATCTGAGTTAGATCGTTATCTAGAGGAGAAATGTTTGTTATGGGACGAAGATGATACCTCATTTGATGCGTTACAGTGGTGGAAGGTAAATCAAATGAACTATCGCGTTCTATCTACGATGGCTCGTGAAATACTTGCCATTCCAATCTCC